AGATGAGAGGAATGATGATGAAAAGGAGGAGAAGGAAGATGAGGTGGTAGTTGTGGTGATAGATAAATAGTTGAAAGCCATTAAGAGGCAAAAAGGGAACAGAAATTGTTTGAGAAATTTGTATGACCAAAGGATGTAAATGATGTGGTTCAATTAGTTGATGATAATCATTATCATAATCATCATTTGAATTGTAGCAACTTCATTGTTCCATCAAATTGTTGTAAAGATGTTGAAACTTTTCTCTCATCTTCAACTCTTTGTTTGAGCTCTTTTCCTTCAGTGATCCTCCAAAATCATCCTCATCTTGTTGACAACAAAAAGGCACATGAAACACATAGGCAAATCATTTGGTGTTGCCAAGAAGAAGAAGAAGGAAAAAAAGTGAAACAAGAAAAGGAAGAGACGAAGAAGAAGAAGATTACTTAATGATTAGGCTTTACTTGCAATTCCATCAAAGAAGGATGAAGATGATAGAGATGATGATGATTAGGGATTGAAAGATTCAAAGCAAATGAGAGAAGGAAAAAGATTTTCTTGTTTCCATATTAATCGTTTGTTTACAGACTAAACATTCAAATGAATGCAAAGTAACTCTTCTTCTTGATCGTCCTTTTTGATTCCAATGGAAAGTGGATTTGTAGTCGGAAGATGATGATGATGATGATGAGGAATGAGCTTCTTTTAAATATCAATTTTGCTTCTCAATCAAACTGGTGTGTTCTTTAATTGTCAGATGCCAGTTTCGTTTGGTATTGATTTTCCTTTGTGATCATCGATAACAAGTGATGAAGTGTCCATTAAGTTGGTTAAATTTTTCTCCACATTTCCAACTGTACTTGGGTTAATTGTTGCCGTATAAGTGCAATTGTTTAATGATACATGATGACCTGTTTGAAGTATGTCAATAGTTTCAGATGTAAATGGATGCAATTGGTAACCTTTAAAATTGGAACAAGCAATTGATTGTTGTTGCTGTTGCTGTTGTTGGCTTGAACTAATCCAATGATGAACAGGTAATGGTGATCCAGATGAATCCATTTGAATATCATTTGGTCCATTGTTTAGACCCATTCCTTGATTTCCAGTGTTACCGGTCAATGTTTCTGATGGACAAATGAAATTACTTTCAGGATAATAGGAAATTGTTGATCGATCTGTTTCTTTGCTTAATTGCCATCTATTTTTCATCTTCATCCGATTTCTTTTTTTTCCGGGTATTTGGTTGAATTTGTGTGTTTTTTTTGGTAAAACCCTATAGGTTATGTAAATCCACCCGAAGATGAAAAAAAAGGAGAAAAAAATACAGACAAAAGAATAGGTTGAGAAAAGATGAGATTGATGAGCATGATGATAGAGGCAAAGGATGAATAAATTGTAACAAGTAATTTGAGAGGAAAAATAAGACGATGAATGATTAAAACTGAATCAAGCAGAATCAAAATGTTAATGAGAGCAAAAATCATGTTAGTTGTTTCCAGTTTTCCTGGTTTTTCTTTTCGTTTCTATTCTTAGTCTTTTCCATTGAAACAAAATTTTTGATTTAACATTTTGATTGATAAACTTTTGAAAGCTCTGCTTCTGTTACCTGTTTAGCTTTGTCGTTGTTGCTGTTGGATGACTTTTTGGATTTAATCAAATCACGAGTGTAAAAAAAGCCAGCAAAAATGAGAACGTTCAGGATGAGAAGTGAACATCCAATGGCAATTGTAACACTTAAGGCTGTTGTATAAGTTACATGGGTACCAAAAAAGTTGACTATTGAATTTGAAGATTGACTTGAACTTTTGTCACTTATGTTTGAATCTAAGGCACTTGGACGTTGATCACCACTGAATGATGATGATGATGATGAGACTCCTTCGAGTGAGGATCCATCAAGAAGCCCGGGATGAGTGATTGATGAGTTTGGATATGAAGATGAAAGTAAACCACTTTCACCAATTACTACTGTTAATAGTGAAGAAAGAGAAAAACAAAAATGAGAAAAGATTTGATTTGATTTTTGTTGATTGTTTGCCAATCAAATGATTGAGATTACCTGAAGAAGGGGATAATGAGGCTGATGGTGAAACAGCTGAGGTTGATGAAGATGGTGAGAGAAGGATTGGAAGACGATTGGCACGGACGATACCATCATATGTTGATAAATCACCATGATTATGAAGTAAATGATGATCTTGGTTGGCTGATGATCCAGGAACATGTAACTTAGGAATTAAGTTTAACCAATAAGACATTCGATGAGCATGATAATGATCTCGTAATTTAGGTTTAATTGCTGAAAGAAGAAGCAGAGAAAAGAGAGAAGAAAAAAAAGAGATGAAGAAGGAAAAACATTAATCCAAATAAATAATGACGATAATTGATGATAAAAATTAATGTTGAAAAAAGAGGTCAACAGAGAAGAAGATGAAATGATATAAACAAAAATGATTTACAATTAAAAGAGACTCATTGAATTGGATCGAATGATGTAAATTATAATTAAAAGGAGAAAACCTTTCATCATACAAAACACCTTCACTTGATGTTACATTTGGTGCAGAGAAGGGCCTTGCTTAGGTTGAGATGTTCATCTCTAATGGTCTGGTGTCTGATGGAATAGATGAAGATGATAAAAGTCTGATGAAGCATGTGACTATATAATATATAGCTAATGATCATGAGATATGGTGAAACTCTGAATATACACATTGGAATGGGAATAACAAGTCCAAGGAAATAGGAAATTGTAAAGCGAATAATAAATAAAGAATGTTAATGATGTTATAAAAACCAAACAAGTGAAGAAAGAAGATGAAGGAAAAGATGAAAATGATGAAGAGTAAACTGAATGAAAGAGAGAAGAAAAAAGAAAAGAATGAGAAAAATAATAAGGAATTATATTGATAGAGCAGGGAAGGGGAAAGATAAAGGAGATGAAAAGTTATCGACAGGAAAAGGTAAAGAGGGAATGGAAGGGAAGAAAAGAGCAGGAAAAAAATGACGAGAATGAGAATGAAGATGATAATGAGCAATGATGATGGAATGAGTTGAAGGTGTTTAAGGGTTGCACTGAGTGAGCAATTAAGATCACCAAGAAGTGGAATGGTAAAGGCAAAAAAGGAAATATCATTAATGAATGAAGGTGAACTGCGAAATATATAAATATTACAAGTGCTTATTGGTTTCCTGATTTTTTTGAAGGTGAAACATGAAAATGATAAAGATGAAGGTGAATACTTACTCAAAGCATAATACTGTTGTTGATGCTCTTCATAAATGGGCCAAGTTATTTTATCAATACGATTATTATTATTTCGTGATTCCCTGTTAATATTACTATAATTATGATAGTTGTTATTACTGTTATTTGGTTTCAACATGTCAAGATCATCTTTATTGTTGGGATCTCTGAATTTGTATCAGTTTTCATGGTTATCATCATTTGCCAAAATCAATTACCAAGTCAAGTGTTATTGTTTTTGGATGAAAGTTGAAAAAAAGATGAAAAATTGAAACAAAATATTAATATATGGTTAAGAGACAATTATTGCTTTTAAGATGAAAAAACAACAAAACATTAACATTTTTTTGCCTTCATTTTGTTCACATTTTCAGACCATTTTTGTCAACTTGAACAGTTGATATTATTTTTAGCTTGATTGTCATTATCATCTAATTAAGTATCATTAGTCAAGCTTAATTGACTTCACTAGAAGGTATTAAAATAATATTAACTCTCTCATAACAGCCAAGTTTTGTACAGAAAAAAAAGAGTTATCATTATCATGTTTTCATCAAATTATCGAAAGAGTCGAGTTTTTTCATCCTTCTTCATTCCCTGTTATCCTTTTCATCTTATTAAGGAAATTAATAAACTTTGTTATCATTATAACAATTGAATTTAGTTTGATAGTTCACAATGATTTGCTTTAATTTTCAAGCTTAAAGGATTGGAAATGAAATTAAGTTTAAAGATTAAGATTTTTCCAGTTTAATCCAATGAACTTGGTTTCTATTTCTTGAGATTCAATAGAAAAGGTAAAAACATTGAAATTACATGTAATTGTTCAAAGTTATTCAGTGAGTGATTTGCTTAGAAATGGGAAAAGAGTAAAATGCTGAAGAAAATTTGGAAATGACAATTTTTAGAGTGAAGTTAAAGAGCTATTTTAAGCTTAGTGTTTGGATAATGAAATTTCATCAGACAAAACATTTGAAATCTATCATGAACTTGAAGCGACTCTTGGTGATTTTCATCGTTAAGAACGAAATAAATCAATTTATCGAGTTGCAGTTTATTGTCATGATAATGCAAAATAATCCGCAGAAACCAATTAATCTTTGAGTTCTGGTAATTGTAATATTTATATTTAGTCTTGACCATTGTCCTCATATCTACAATTACATGGATCACATAATTTAAAGGATAAAATAGAGTCTGGGCAAAAATGAATGGATCAAGAAAAATACACAAAAGAATTGGTCAAATCATTTTACTGTTCATGTTCATGGTGATGATAAAAAAATAAAGATTCTGAAAAAAGAAGAAGAAGAAGGGAAAACAGGAAAAGTATTATTACACAGGGATTCATTGATTATAACGATTTATTTAATCTTCATCTGTTTTCTTCTTTTCATCGTCTTTACTGGTAAAACAATATTGATACTGATGGAGTTGATTGAGTATCTTTGGGTTTGTCAATTTAATCATCAAAGCTTTTCCTCTTATTTTCATCCAAGTTGATTCAAATTGTTTAATCAGTAGACCATGATGATGAACATAATGATACTGATAATGATGATGACAAAAACAAATCTATTATTCTTTTGTTAATTCAATTCATTTGTTAAGGTGAATTTCATCTTTTTTTACTTTCACTCAACTCAAACAATAAATATCAATTGCTGGTTGAAAACTGGTTGTAAAAGGCCTTTGAGAATGTTCATATTTTCAGAGGAAAGTTGAAATTTTTCATGAACATTGAGATAAGCTGAGCTATTAATAGATTAATATTTAGTGTTTTGAAACAATCTCATGGTTAATTTCCTGGATTTTGAATTGATTGTTGACCTTAAAGTATTATTGCTTTACCAAACCAAAATGTTAGCTATAAAAGTAGACTTGAGATCATTAGTGTGCTTTAGATTTGCCTTAACAATTCAAATTAATCTTTATCAATTTATTACCAACATTGTAATTGAGTTAAATGATCAACTAACCATCTTATAATTTGTTAAGTTAAGCTTTTCAAATGGTAAGACATGACAAAGAATGGAAAGCTAATTAAATGACAAATGAATGAAACACTCAATCAACCCTGAATGTTGTACACACTTGAACAATCAAACTGGTTACTGAAAAGGTTAACAATAATTGTAAGTTCATTTTTAATCATTTAAAGGAGAAAAAACTGATTTTCCAGATTAAATTGTATTCATTGGGATTTTTTAATAGATGAAATTATTATCCCTCAAAAGGATTATTAATTGTTTAAACAAACCAATTTAGGTTTAAAAACATTTAATTTTTCCGCGATTCATCAGTTTCATGAGTTTGTTCAATATTTTGTTTTGCCTTGCTTTTGCAAATAATGATCATGATAATGGCAAGTTATTAGTTTTAAATTAGATTTTAGCTAATAGCGTTATCATTATAATCAAGATTTGGTGAAATGAAATAAACGCAAATGAAATTTGATAAGTTTCTGTTAAAGGATTGGAGTGAAATGTAAAGCTTTATAATGAATAAACTGCTTCACCATCATTAGATAATGATTAAATGAAGATCATTTTACATTATGGTTTATGGTTTGACTATTAATATAATACTTATTATAAAATATTAAATAGAAACAACAATCAAACTAATAAAAATGATGATAATGTGAGTTATAAAAATTGTTGGGAGAAAGTAAAACAAAGGCAAAATGGTGTTTGGTGTAACACTGCTTCTTACCCATATTTAGCAAAGGCAACCCAATTGGTGATTAAAGTTTCGGACAAGGCAATTTCACTGCGAGTGTAAGACGATGAAAAATGGGACAGTTTGAGGCCGGAGATGAGCGGAGCACCAAATAGGTAATTTAATTCTTGGCCAGAGACACAGCCAAGTCTGGACGGATAGTCACCCTCTTCAGTAGAGTATAAGAAGCTGTAAAAATAGGTTTTCTTGGGACGTCGTGAGTGAAGGGTTGCTACTTTAATCAATGGTGCAACCACCAATGAGTCCGATAAAAGGTCGGTTAAAGAGTCCAGTATGTTTAATGGATGGCTTGTTGGTCGAGTCCAATCCGTGTATTCATTTGATATAGTTAAATAGATTTCCTGAGAAGAAAAAAGAAAATAATTTGAGTTAGAATTGTTGAAATTGAATGCTTTTTTTACACACTCATCAATGTAACCCAAAATCTGGTTAAAACTTGAATACCATTTGATTTGTATTCAAATCGTTATTTGTTTTTCAATTTGATTGTAGATTTAGATTTTTCAATCAATTTGGTTTACTATTTCACTGGTTAATTGGCAATTAGAGGGGAAAAGATGTAAAATGATGAAAATCTATGTTTCTATTGATACGTCAATCAACTATTGGGTAACCTTTGATTTGCTTGATGATTGGTAATAATGACACTAGAAACCAATTGATTACGAAAAGAAATCAAAATCATCAGGGAATGAATTACGATGCTTTTGTTACCTTATTGTTATTAACTGTTTATAGCTTCACTCGCTTTTTTTCACCATTAGGTTTTGCTTCTCGATTGCCAAACCAAAATCAAAATGAACGATTGAATTAACAATTTGATCAATTGATTTGTCATCTGATACTTAAATTAATCGCAATTGATCATAGTGATAAACAAAAGCAGAAACAATTGATGATTTTCGCTGATCATAACCAATTTTCACACCAATCAAGAGTAAATGTGACACAGTTTACAATTCAACATAATGAACGTTTCAATCAAAATGTGTGCATTTGAGATGGACTCAGATTCAGTTAACATTTTGCCCTGTTCAAGTTGAACTTTGTTTTACTCGTTGCTTGAACCATTCTTGTTAATTAGCAGCTCAGCGCGATAACCATTGTAACAGAATAGCACACACTGATTAACTAATTAATGATGATAATGATGGTACGAGACAAAAAGAGTAAGCTGGTTATTAAGTTTTTGGCAACAAAATAACATGATATACATGTATATGAGTGAAGACTGGATGAGAAAAGCTCTTGAAGGTTTCCACTGTAGTAATAATCATCATAATCACCATCAGAATCATAATGTTAGTGATAAGCTGAAAGCGATACAATGTGGTTCACACTTATGATTTTACTACCAATTTGAGTGTTCGTGTAATAGACTTCAACACTTATTCCAAAAAATGATCTTTCCCTGGTAACATTATGTTCAATATATAATGAAACATTGTAATATTGATTTTCTTTTGCTCCGTTACCATCATCATCATCATCCCTATCATTATTATCAGCAGTCAATGTGTATTGATAAACTGAACACTATCGTCAACAGTTGGAACAATAATAGTAACGAAAGCTGATGATGTATCATTGGACCAAGGTTGAGCTAATTAACCTTTTCAATTTTATCGGATCCTCTTGTTTTCCCTTGTTTTGTTTCCTTGTTGTTAGAATTTTCATCTTCACTTTTCACCATTCCACCAGCCTTTGCCTTTATCCTTTTCTTTTTCTACTCCTTTTTCTTTTCCTTTCTTTTTTTGGCTTGTTTATTTCTTTTACCAATTCTCTCAGGGAAATGTGTCTGATGGACTATCCAATGATATCAACCAATCTGTTACAGATATACGATCAACTTTACGTAACAATACCATCATTATACTGATAGAAGTCTTCATCTTTTTTTCTCTGCTCTCGTCTTTCATCATTCATTTTACTTGACTTTGCTATTCACCGAGAGACCAAAATATATATATATGAAATATATATAAAAAAGAGAGAAACTCATGTAGATCCAAACAATGAGAAACAACTGGAGAAATAATAAGGTGATTTGTTGAATATCACGATGTAATAAACAAATGATGTTCAGTTGCATAAGAAAAACAATAACAGAAACAAAAAAGAGGCAAATTAACATTGACATTAACAAATGTAACAAGAGCTGTTTCAGAACAAATCACTTACTTACTAAAGAAAACCATTATAATTTTATAATTAAAATCAGGAATTAATCTAAATAAAAGGCAAGAAAAAATTCAACTTTCATCACAAGCTAATAAAATAATCAAAATAAACGGTAAATTGAGAACGAAATATCTTAATAAGATCAGCTGCAACTTTTCCCGGTCTTTTGGGTTGCTGCCTTTTTAGCTACTCAGGCGCAGTCACATGTCCAGCGGTTTACGCCAATTCGCTTCAGCGTTTTAACCAAGTTTTTTTACAATTTACTTTTAAAGTTATTTTTATTGTGTTTAATTTTTTTATTCAAATTTGCGAAGACTATGGAACCCATTGATCCCATGGATCCCACGGATGATGACGAAGACGTTGATATTACAGAGCCTCGCTCTCAATACTATTATGTGAAGTTTTGCTATCTATTGGAATATACTGTTGACCAGACTTATGCAAATATTGTTCAAGTCATTGGCGATAAGGCTGTACCTCGAGAAACTGTTGCTGATTGGGTGGAAAAACTGAAACAGGGAATTATTCTTTACCAAGATTCATCTAATCACAATTCATCTAACCACAATTCATCTAATCCCTGATTGTGATTGATTCACTTCACTTTAACCATCTGAATCAAGAATATGATTTCTGATCTTCACTAAACGATTTCACAGCTCTTTGGATTCAACGTGCACCTCCATTTTATCATCTATTAATAATTGTAAACTATTATTAATAAAACACTTTTTTGGACAATTTATCTTCACCTTTATTTGGTTCTCGTGTGTTAGACATTCTCATCGCCATCGTCACTTTTGACAAACTTAATTTTTTTTCATTCAAGACACTCTTTTCATGGTTTGTGATCAAATTAATACAACTCTCTGCCTGACGAGATCTCATTTAATCTCATCTAGGATTACCATTCTACAAATAATGAGAAAGAAAAGTCTCCATTGGTTTCAACATTCTTCACTTAAGTAACCTAATGAACTAGACTGAATAATATGTAACCATTCTGTGTCTTCAATTTCATTACATTACCCAGAACCTTCTTTTTCTCATCTCTAATCAAGATACTATATCACAAAGTATGCAACTTATCACCACCATGGTCTAATCATATTATACAATCATGATCGTTAACCCCTTCCACCAAACAATTATCAACATCATTTACATTTGGAAAGCAGGAGGAGAGGAAAAAAAACAACCAACTTCCACTTCTGTTTACTGTAAAGTTTATCTTTTGGTTTCATCGACTGAGGTGCAAAAAGGATGTTGAAAAGGGACCAACACAGTAATCTCAACCAATGGAACCCTGTTAACATTAATCTAAATCTGAAATATGAATATAAAGGAAGCCAAAACATAGTAAAAGTCCAATAACAAGTTTTACTAATAAACAGTGACAAAGTGAAGTTTGTAAAAGACTGGTTAACTTGGGTTTAAGTCGCCAACTTTTTTTTATACCGTAGCTGTTGTTTTATCTATGTATTTATCCAATTATAAGGCAATTTGAAGAAACAAGGAATAAAAGTTAACTTGATGGATTGGCTCAATAAAATTATATTACCCTGGTCTGTTGAAGAATTACTGAGAATCCTGAGCCTTTCTTAATTCAACGTTATTCTCTTTCATTATACTCTTTCTCCTGCTTATCATCTGCTTCTCCTTTTTTCCTCATCATCATCCTGTACATCATCTTTAAGCAAGAACCATCCATACATAAAGTACACATAGACACACACACACATAGGAACAAAAGTTTAAGAAAAAGAAGAAAAATTCGGGTTACCAACTGTAAGTACCAAAAAAGAGAAGAAGAGAGATGAAAATCCTTAATAATAATAATAGTAATAATGATGGTGATAGTAATAGTAACAACCTTTTCTTGTTGGTCAGTAATGATAACAAGAATAGACTTGATCATAAATTTGCTTCAACACTTATTACAACAACAGCAACATCAGTAACAACTTATCCAAGGAAGAAGCAAAAATTTAGACTCTTTCAAGCCAAACATGTAAAAATATATAAACGAGTGAATGATCATTATTATCATTATCATTACTATTATGGTTATTATCATGATTTAAATGTTTAAAGGAAAGATTAATCTTTAAATTTTCTTCCTTTTCTTCCACAGTTACTTCAAATTCAATGGGAAATATTGAAAAATAAATTTTAAACAAAACCATTAACCAAGTCAAATTTAACATCAACACGGGATCCATAAAATGAATATTTGACCATCTAAAGCTTTATTGTTGGCCTGGCAATACGGTTTTGTCAAACTCAAACACAAAAGTTATAATTTTGTGTCTCTTCAATGGAGGAACCAACAAGATTTGGCAAAGGCAAAATAAAAGTTAACCAAGACAATAATAAGGAATAGTTGATAGTTATTTAAAAATGCCATTTTCCAATGGATATATCAACACTATCAACAGCAGACAACAACATCCAAAACCGTAGATTATTGAATTGTAATGTTTATTCTTGTTTCCCTATCTTTTGAGGTTCCTTTTTTTCTGAGCATTTTATTATTTCCCTTTCGAGAAAAGGTTACCTTTTACCTTGTTAACCATTCAATGTACAAAGAAACTCATTTATTTAAATGTTTTTCTTCCTCTCTTCTTCTCTCCTTTCAACCCATTTTCCCTTCAATCAGGTTAGAAAATTTTATTCATTTTCAAATGATCTGTAAGCATCTTAAATGTTTTCTCATCATTTCCATTCAATTTCTTTCCTCTCACAAACTTCATCTTCATCTTTTCCCATCCTTACCACTTCATTTTCAACTCTTCATTTTATTTCCCAAAAATTTGGTTACAACATTTAAACAGAAGAAAAAAAATCTCAAAGTAAACATTTTGCTAACCATTAACTGTTGAATGAATAATGATAGACTTCAGAATGTAACAGCCTCGAATTATTTATTCAAAAATTTCTATGCAACTGAAACGCTATTCTCAAACTTCGACTAAAATCCACATATTTTGACGTTTGTCTCAAGTTCCAACGACTTAAGTCCATTTCCTTCAATTTTATTTTCTCTGATCAAGTAACTTCTGTAATAAGTCGAAGGTTCCTCCAGACGATTATTGGACCAGATTCAAGTTTGAAATGATTTCTTTTATCGACCCGAAAAGTCTTTCTCAATAAGCCCAATTTTTCTCAATAAATACAACTGAAATGATTGAAATGATCTTAAGACCGATTTTTAATGAATTATCTGAATTTTTCGTTGAAATTCGCTTATGTTCTTAATCTTTAATCTGTTTCAGACTGTACAAGTTAAACCGATAGTAGATGAACTATTAATAAATGGCTTTTTCTGTTGTAGCAACTTCATGATTTGAACCTTGACCATTCAATCTTAACCTCTTTTCACTTATAGTCTGGGTGAGCATCGTCTGTGAAATCAATACTTTGTTCCGATTGAGTAAATTGTTGGAAGAATATTCAATGATTAATGTTGACCATTTGCATATATGAATACATCTAAATACATGCAGACAGAAAAGGATTTCAGAAGCTGACTATAAATGTAACTTCAAATCTTATAAATGAAATAATATCAAATATAAACCATGTAACATTGAATATCCTTCAAATGCAAGTCAACTGCGTCTCTAGATGATCAGATGGATAGTAACAACAAATACAAATTGAAAACAAAAAATGCCAAAGATTCAAATGAATTACGTTTTAATTTTTGTGCCATCTTTAAGGATAAACCAGTAAAGCAATAACATTAATCATTGTCTCTGCAACTGTCTTTTAAGACTGATTTGGCTCTAAAAACATTAAAACTATTCTGATATAACTTTATGATTGACTTTGATCGCTTAACAATTGTGTCAATAATCGTACAAAATTTTATCTCATAATGATGATCATTTAAAGAACATTCATTTGTGTTCATAAATGATGGATTCACTTTCAATTGACACTCATCAAAGTATTAGACAAAACTAACGTTTAAATGTTAACTCAACTTTCAACTCATTTCATTTCATGTAAATGTATAAAATTTGTATTCTGCCAAACAACTTGCCATTCAAATTGAATATAAAATTGAACTGAAACAATTTCAATTCACTTTCATCACAATTTTGATTCATTCGCATTAAAACCAAGTTTTGTCAATTGAAACATCACAAAGCCAAAGGCTATAACCATCAAGATGGACAAAATATTAATGGCTGGACCGAAGTGAAATTGTTACTCAAACATGAACATGATCTTTTGTTTTGCTGTCCTTTTGCCACTTTCAATTGACTTTATTTAATTTGCTTTCATCAACATTGATTGAATTGACAATTAACTTATCCGAATGATATTAAAGTATATTAAATGATAAACAGACAAAATTAACCATGAATCAATGTAATGGAAAGAGAGAAGCAAAAAAGCTTTGAAAGTATACAATGTAAGCCTACAAGGCTCAAACTGGTAATATATCAAAAATTATCAAAATAATATCTTGTGACTAAATCCCTGAATAGTGTTGGGAATCAATTGAAAACAAGCTAAAAATGTAAGAAACATGTTAACTTGGTTTGAGTATGATTGGAATAACAATTAGCTTTGGCTGGAAAGAGTCAAGTAAAGTGAACACAAATAATTGAAAGACATTTTTTGGTCCCAATCATTTTTCCTTTCCTTACATGATTAACAATGTAAATTGAATTGGCAAGAATACAAGGAGAATGGAAACTCGAACAACCAGGATAAATTGTAACTTTTATCCAACATTCACTCGACATTGTCCAATTTATCTGACGATTGGCTTCTGTTCCTCTCTAAATTCAATCAACTTTCAAGCTCATTGGAACCTTCAATTCAGCGAATAAATTAATACAAAATTTTCAATCTATTTGGCTGATCCAGACTTGCAATATCAGGGAACTATTCATTGGTCATAATTTCAATCAAAACATTGATTATAACGAATCGTATTAATAGATGCTCAGAAGAGACAATGAGATTACTCTGAATAAACTCAGATATGGAAGGACAATAAGAAGTTTTTCTTTGGAGTAAAAGGGAAAAACTTGTGAACAGAATCTTAAAAATTGAAATTCTTCACCAAGAGTTGGATATTTAAATGTGATCGTTCAAGCGTTTACACTCTTTTCACATGGAAGTCAAAATTCAAAGCACTTGAGATGTTACTTAGCTCAACTTGACTTTTCTATTGGCTCGTCTTTCGTTCATTTCTAGATCAGTAGATGAGCTAATTTTGACTAATTGTCATTATGTAAGTTTTAGTAATGAGATTAGATGGGTTCGTTGCTAGAGTAACGATATTTTTATTACAATGAAAACTTAAACTAACTATAAAAGTTTCCATTGAAGATGCTTCTATTAGTCTGGAAAATTCAATTTTCTTTTGCAATGAAGTTATCAGTTTTAATCTGCTGGGAAGTTTACTTAAGAATGAGAAGTTTAAATTTCGGCAATTCTCTGATTCTCCTTTTAGACTGTAATTAAAAGCGTGGCTTAATTGGAACAAGAAACTTAATGAGTTGTAAAATCAATTTAATTTTATAAGAAAATTGAAATTAATTTCATCATTAACCAAACAAGCAAAAAATCAAAGGTTAAGTGGAAACATGAAATTAGCTGATGATGAAAGTAAATGGAAACAATTAAGGAATCAGATTGAACAAATGTTTGATGATATTATTTAAATGTTGAAGAGTAAAACTTTGAAATCATTTCTCACCTGTAAATGGTAATCGTACAAATTACGAACCAAAGTGCGAATAATGCGATCACGTTTTGAAGGTTCGATACCTTGATGAACATCTGAATCGGTAAATGAATGAAAATATTCTACTCGAGTGACTCCAGTCAATAGTTCGTACGATCCAAAGAGCGAAGTTTCATCAGTCATCAAAGTCAAAGGATCACCAGGTATAACAATACCATCAACTGTGGGCCCAAAAAGGGTCAAGTGTTTGGGTACATCAAATGAGACGGACATTATTTCGTCAAGAGACTTTTTTCTCAGGCAGTTCAATAGAACGGTATTTTTATTGTTATCACTTGTACAGCCAACTCGATCAGCAAGTATTTTACTGTACTTGATGGAATCCGTGGCCATGGAGAACGGACTCAATGCTGAACCACTCGACATGATTGCACGCTGAAAAAGTCCTGTAAAAAGGAAAACAAAAACTAATTATTTGTACACAAATTTTCATCTCTAAATTGACTCAATTTCTCGACTTAAAGTCAAAACAAAATCTTTTGCACCTTTCCATTGACTTTACATCGAATTAGCAAGTTGCAAGTTTCAGACTATTTCAATCGATTTTTTCCTTTCAATCCTTTACAGATAAACATTCAACTTTGATAACTTTTCTTGTTATTACACAAATGTATTGCGATTCATTGACCATCAGTAAAGGTCAACTAAAGCCCTGAAGAGACAAACCTACATTTATGTATTTTTGAGAGTAAAAACAAAAATTTGAAATTCGAGGAAAAATAAAGCCAAAAGTTGGTTTACTTTGCGAAATCATTTCCAGAATAAAATAATTAAATTAAACTCTTAAGAGATTTAATCGCAGTAATCAAGTGTAATTGAACAAAGTGAATTTGTATCAAATGACCATTTGACCTTATTTGATATTTTTACGAAACAAAATGAAACAAAAACTATTCTTTGTCCAAAAGTTCTTTGACTTTTGAGTTTTTGCATTTTTCATCTTTACTCCAAACTCCATCTTTATTATTCAATATGAGTATTCATCTAATCGAGTTGTTGAGCTGAAAATGGATTCGATTTGGAATAAAATCGATCCAAGAAACGATTATGTAAAACTTATGAAAAGACTTTTCCTTCAATCCTATTCAATTCAATTATAAGTGAGTTATGATAACTGAGCTCTGATTAGTTACCAATCAAAGTAATAAGTTTTATTCTTGGATAATTTAATTTCAAGCTTTCTTCATCAACTTCAGTGATTCATGAATGGAAAAGCTAATAATGTTCAACTCATTGATTCATTACTTTTCATTGCCGTTTCCATATTTGAACATTTTTAATGATATTTTATTCACTTTGCTCTCATTTCAAGAATTATTTTTGCATCTTTTGTTCAACAACAAAACATGCAATTGTAATCATTATCATTTGACCATTGAGACTTGCGATTTGCTCTAATGATTAAGAAATTATGGTTTTAATGAGCAAGAAAAAAAAGAGAACATTTTCCATGGAAAAATCTCAATTTTACATTTTTGTACTTTTCATATTAAAAATGATTATTTTGCTTTACTTTGAACAACAATAACCATAACAATCTTGAGGGAATTTGAAAAATGTTAACTTGATCTTTTGTTTTTCATTGTTGCTTTCATTATCGTCACCATCGTTATTGAATTAAACAGGGTAAAAATGAAATATATTAACACGTAGTTATAATTTGTATACAAGAGTATACTAGAGTATGAAGACAATATTGCCAAGGTAAAGAATTTTAATTAGTTAATAGTATTTTTATATTGCTTTTTAATATAATAATAACTTTAAATGGGGATGAAATGGATGAAGAAAATTCTGTCAAGGAATAACAAAAATGCAATGTTATCACAATTTTTCATCATTTTCATTTTGCATCCTTTTCTGGTTCAGCTCAACATATTAATATATTTGAATATGAAATAAAAAACAAAATTTATTGTCATCATCCATAAAGTTGAATGGAGATTAAAAAATGCTTTCATCATTTCTATTAATGAATGTTTACTTACTAAGATTGATGGAAACAAAAATTAATATTTGATTTGGGTTCCCGACTAACAAGTGTCTATAATTAGACGATAATAATTGATTAGAGGTTGACTTTTATTTATTAAATATTGCTCGCGTTACTTGGTTCAAGTTTAATGGAAAGGGGCTCTTGAGTTGTGACTTGCAACCTAAGTAGGTGAGGCTTCTGGGTCAGGATAACAATGATGATACCCTTCGTATCTCGAGACTCGAGTATTACAATTGCAATTACCAGCATAAATCAGTATTCGAAGTGAACTTTAATTGTAGGAACAAAATTATAATATTAAATCTTAATGATCGTATGTATTGTAAGGTACAGAACTATACCCTGAAAGTCTTGATCTGATCATTTCAACAATCAAGGAGGAAGTCAAATCTCCATAAAAATTGCCTTCAACTATTGGGACTTCCGAAGATATATTGTTGATTTGAAGGTAATACTTCAGATATATTTCATTACTAAAAATACTATCGAACAAAGACAAAGTTGAATAAGCAAATGCCCGAAGTGGTTTGAAATCAAAGGCTCTCCAATCATGTTACAGTCCGTTATAGAGGTGCGGCTAGCAAGTGAATAATCTTAATCTTTCATCTCAATCAGGGTAGATTTAAATCGATCAAGTGTCGACTTTTGCTGAAATGAAAACTTGTTTAGTTTTGGTAAAGTAAGTAAAATACTCGAGATGTCTAACGGTTCCTTTTGTAAGTCTTTTTATAAGATTTTCATTTCTGCTAGATTCATCGTTTGACAATGATGAGATGAACGATTGAATGAATCGATTAGATAGAAAACTGAGCGAATTATGATGTTTGTCGAGATGATTAAACAGGATTAAACAGAAGAAAAAATAAGAAAATTATCATGATGATTCGAAAGTAGCCTTTATCTGATATCAAATTACTATATAGATTTATCTTTTTACTTTGATCAAAGTTGAAGCTAAATAATATAACTTTCGCTCAGTTTTCATTACCTTTATTAATGATCAACAATCTCAGTTAAGTTGACAGTTTTCTGTTACAATAATATTGATAATTTCCTCATCATTGTTTCTTGCCATCATCATTTCACCACACTTTAGTCTTCTTTCCTGATTCTCATTATTATAAACCATCCATTTTATCATTATATTTGAATCCATCAAATCAAGTAGGATCAAATTGAACAAAAGATAGTTACTCAAAACACGATAAATAATGAGATATAATAACACAGTTGAAATGAGTGACATTAGTAAAGATGATAAAATTTATGATCATTGAGTCAATTGAAGCATGCTAATTAATGTAGACAAATGAGTCTTACCTCTGCCCATCGGTGAAAGCATAAGAAGGTTAACAAAAGAAGCTCCATAGTCGTGGCCAAAAATAGTTACATTACTCGATGAGCCACCAAATTCACCGATATTTTCTTGGATCCAGTGAAGGGCAGCAACTTGATCCATAAGGCCAAAATTACCTCTAGAAGTCCCATCCAAAGATGGAAAAAATCCTAAAAAAATTTAGAAAAGTTGAAAAATCTTTCAAAATCCATTCGATAAAGTTCTTGTTCAATTTCCAACTGAAACCCGATTTCACTCTCACAACATTTCTATTGATGTTTTCATGTTGCGATATTTACCTAAAGCTCCGAGGCGATAATTGATTGTAACAACTATCACTTCACCGAACGATGATAATATTGAGCCATCGTAAACGGAACCTGAATTCCATTCATAAGATTCACCATGAATGAACATTATAACAGGATAAAGTGTTGTAATAGATTGAGATGCTGTAAAGGGAATAATAAGAAAAATTAGCAAAGATTGTCCAGAATCTATTCAATAACAATATTTAACATGAATCAGTTCCACTAGTCACATAATGGTCATATTTAAACAGAAAACTCAATCCAACATTATATCTAATTGCCTGCAAGTGCACTCCCAGTCCAACTCCCAGTTGAACTCCCAGCTCAACATCCCAGTCGTACTCCTAGTTGAGCGTTCAATATGCTGATAATTTGGGAGTAAACAAATGAATTGATTCTGAAGTGTATCAACTCTCGATGGATCATCTGAATTTATCATAACCTTAACTATTGGATACATTGTAAATTAGTTTGAGTGACAATTTATATCAAAGTAATGCAAATAACCTTAGGATAACAGTGAGATAAAAAAGTGTTCTGAGCAAGAGTTGCCAGAGTTTTCACGAAATTCACATGGAGTAATTTATATTCACAGCTGCAATATATATATCAAAGACATAATCTGTGTTTACACAGAGGCAAAAGTCTAGAGAAACTCATAACGAAAAAGGAAAAAAATATTTACTCAAATGATATGAAAGTGAATGAAGAGAAGAAGAAAATTGAAAACAAAAAAGAAACTGTTACTTCGAAAAATGTTTGACTTTTTTTTGTTCGCTTTCGAAACATTTTGCATTTGGAAAGCATTTTTTGAGTCAATAATTTTTGTTTATACACTCGGTCCTGTTGAATGGTAATTCAAATGATAATCATAAATCTCAATGGGATTGAAGCATTTCAATACTGAATATACAAATAAACAAATGAATACAATTGATTTGACAGTTGAAGATGAAATTGAAAGATAAAGATGAAAAGATGAAAAGCAATGAAAATTCAATTTTTTTTTGCTCCTCTTCTCTTTATTTGTTTACTCGATAGACAATCATGATTTTAATGACACCGATAACAATGAGTTGAACTAAGAGGTTGAAAGGTTATACAGAATGTTGATTGATGATAATTATATTATTAATTTTGGAGTAAAGCGCAAAAGAATAGAGAATCATGATTGAGATAATAGGCAAGGTTGTCATGAAGATGATGAAAGAGAAATTTTTCTCTCTCCAGGTTCACATGGTTAACCTAAAAAAAGAAGGTTGATTGAAGTTCATGATTGAGATGATTTTCATTCCATCTATTAGTTTGATAACATAAAATTTTTAACCGTTAAAAACTTTTGTCAACAAAGATTTGTGTGTTCATTTCATTCTTGCCTCAGTTTTGTTGCTAGTTTTTGGCTTTATCTTGAAACTCATTTTTCAACCTCAAGAAGCAAATCAGGGCAAACAAGAAAAGTAGATTTAGTAAAGTTCTTGTTCTTCTTTTTTTTCTCTTCTTCTTCTTTTCTCAGTTGAAGAATAGAAGATACAGATGAAGCAAGAATGGGGATAAATAAGACTAGTCAGGGTATTCAGAGTGAACATGGGTTCAAATGGTGTAGGAGTGAGCAGTCAAACTGGTTATGCAGAGGAACAAAAAGGTTTTCAAAAGATTCTCATGTATCAGCACTGAAACTCAATCAATTCGTTCAATAGTTTAAAGTTAGAGTAAACACTATTTTAAAGTCGATCAATTTGTTTCATTATGATTTTCTTTCAAAACTTTTCCTTCATTTTACAGAAAAAATGAATCAATTTTGTTTCACTTTAAGTTTCATCTTATCCCAAACTGATTCAATGTTGACAAAAGATGCGCTGAAAAAGCAAACAAAACTTGAAATTTTATTCTTTCGGCCAATTTTTCGCTTTATCATGGTTCATACAACAGAATAATGAAAGAATGTATATTAGAATCTGAAAAATTGACTAGACAAATATCAATAAACGAAGATGCTTCTAATGCTCGATTGTCAACTAAATTGTCGAAATACTGCTTTATCGTTTCTGTAATGATACAGTTGAGCGATTTAAGTGATGAAAAAAATGCCATGGCCATTAAATGACAATTATGAATATATCACACCGATGTTCTGTAATTTTTCATTTACTCTGTATCATCCAATTGAACCACTGAGTCGGTGAGACTACGGCTTACTCAGTGGGTGTTGGCCGGTACAAATGGCCGACTTTTGACCCTCGACTTCACTTTCATTTTTCACTTGTCTTTTTATTCTTCTCCAGAATTTCTTCACACCATTCTCAGATTAATAATTATGACAGTGCAAAATGTCAGCTTATTATTTTGCCAGTTTTATGTTTTATTTGCTTCGATCTTCATGACAGTCTACAGGGCGATTCAGCTATATTTGTAAATTTGCTATTACTGGGCATGTGAGGAATGTAAATGGTTGTGTGTATCCACGCAAAGTCATTTAAGTCTCATAACTGTCTGCAAGTCATTTCTTTTCAACCTCACTCTACTGATTAACCTGACGGCACCTGATCTTGAAGATACATTCATTATAACCATTTTTTGACCTCTAGAATCTTTAGACGTTATTTCCAAAAAAATGACCTGCACCTTGGAGTTTACAAACAAACATAAACACCCGCATTTTGATGTCACCTGGCCTGCTGTAACGTATTTTATTTTTGGCGATTATGACATGAGCTTCGACTTACAAATGCCCAACAAATTCATATTTGTAGCATATGACGGATTAAAGGTAACATTCAAACCAACAATTGCAGCGTTTAAAAACGAAACCTACGTTTACGATAATCCTATTCTTAACGAAAGAATCTTACTCGCTGAGTTCAGCGAAGGCGACTTCATACCTGAGAGTTTATTCTCTACATCCGATGTTTTGATTATTGTGTTTCTATCATTGCTCATTCTTTGATCAAAACCTCTCAAGCCTCTAGTTCCCACAACCATAATTCCACACGCTCAAGGTCATTCAAGGTAAACTTTTGATCTCTTATTGACACTGGGAGGTCATTTGTTGAAATCGCAAAATTTTTCTGGCCGATTAATGTCAGTCAAATGTTAATAACTCCCATCAGCAGAAACAAACGAATTTGTTATAAATGCGATTGGTTGACTGGTCGGTTCGAAATCACTCATATCCTTTAGACAGTATGAGTTATTAACAGTGATTAGCATTAATCGGTCATAAAAATTTTGTGATCACAAAAAATGACCTTCCAATGGCAATTAGAGGTTAAATGCAGAGTTGACCTTGAATGACCTTGAGCAGGTAAAAACATGGTTTTGGATCTAAAATAGCTCATGCTTCAATTCTGAGGTCTCCAGCGCTAACTCTTCGCGAAAAAGAAAGAGAGAGAGTCACCTAAGAAAGAAATGTCCTTGAGTAGGCTGTCGTCGACATTACTGTCAAGCTAAATGCACTGAAATTTACTTCAAAAGATTCAAGGATATCGTCAATAATAATCAATGGAATGCAAAAATTACGCAGCTTGTCCAATCACTATTGGAATCAAGATTCAAATCGAAGCGAAGCGGAGAAGTTTTACAGAGAGTTTAATGTTGGACAATACTTTTATTTTCATTTACTCAGTGATGAGCACCATTGGTGGAGAGCTGTAGCGTTTGTAATCAATTCCAACACGAGCTTTATCTAAGAACTCGAGGTTAAATGTATAACATTGTTTCAATTTTATTCAATAAACTATTCTTTCTCGCTTTAAAAAAAGATTCCATTTCTTTTGATCACCGAGGTTGAAAACATAATAATCGCAATATTACTAATATTCCATGGATGATCGAATGGGTTAACTCACCCATTAATTAAATTTGTTTAACTAATAATGAATTATTACGTCCAATTGACGACAGTTTGGAGTCTAATTTCAATTCCCCTCAATAATCACTTTGTTAAAACAAAGAGTTTGTTTTTGCTTTTCTGACCATTGTTAAGACAGGGAAATAGACAGAATAAAGAAAGAAGAGAATACGGACTATTTCTCTTTTCCAATTTAAACACTTTATTCTTAAATAACACAGATATCAATCTTATTTTTCTTCACATCTCCACATAATAGAAAGAACCTGTTGGTTGGAATAGCTAAACTTAATAATTAACAGATTTCAGTATCAAAATAATTTCTTATCCAAGCCTTATCTTGACATTCCCTCTGAACCAACCTGCCAACACAAAGGCCAATTGTAACATTTGGAAAGATTCACAGTCTTTTCGGTCTTGTTTTGCTTTATGCAATGTTTCTGTTTATTTGTAATAGCATTGAACTTGTTTGATGTCTCAATAGGTATTATCAATATTCGGTAATATTTCTTTGAACCATTTGATGATGCAAATATTTGCAATTGGACAGTTTATTGATTGAGTTTTACTCCATCTAATGTTCAATATCATTCATAAATACTAGGCCCATTGCAATACAAACACAAAAACATACGGCAAAAGAAATGAAAAAAGTCCAATTTTCGTTGTTCACCAACCATTCATTACAACATGATGATAGCATACAATTGAGAGATTAAATGATAAACTATAATTTTATTAAAATAATTTGCGTTTACTTTCATTGCAATAATAAATAATTACAGGATCAATACACAAGCGAGTGCAAAAAATGAAATAATAACAGGTTAACTTGAATACATTGAATCACTTGAATAAAAAAAGTTGAAAAAAAAGAGTTTTGCCAAAAATATTTAGTTTTTACAGAAACTTTCATTTCTCTTGACAACAAAATGCAAACAAACTCTAATTACCAATCATGAAGCTTGCAATCAATCAACCCTTTCTCAGCCTTTCAAACATATAATTATAATAAAAAGATACAAAAAAGGCAAAGGATTATTTGAATGTTGTTGAGAGATGAAAAAAGTTGAGTTCAAAAGTTTCAATAATCTTGTAATGAGTTTGCTCCTCATAATTGCCTTCATCATTTGATTACACGAAAAGATGGGATTAATTGAAAAAAGAAAATCTTTTTCCCTCAAAATGTTCATTTTTTTTCTTCACCATCATTCTTCTTCTCTTTACTTTACCCAAAACCAAAACAGGTAAATTGACTCTATCAATCAATGTTTTGTTTTTTTTCCTTCTTCTC